TTCTAAAATGTCAATTTAAAAATCGTACCATTTACCATCCGTACCATCTGGCGGTCCTACAACTGTGCGATTTAAAAGAAGTTTTTTTCCTCGCACAACTTCCTTGTGGAATCGACTACCACCAGAGATTTTTCCGGACCGATACTACTTCGGGACCTTCAAGAAAAGAGCCTACTCTTTTTTAAAAGGCCGGCAACGCATCTACGATTCGCCTGGTGTTGCAGCAGTAATAGTCGGTCGCTAGTCAATTCATTTTATGTAAAAACAATTGACGGAAGTCTGACATCCAGTAAAATATCCTTATTGAGTAATTTAATACTCATATTTGTGTCTGACATTAGTTACATACCTAATTGTTATCAAGCTGGAGTCATAAAATTTTAGAACATTCTCGATATGAATACCTATAAACCAGAGAACTACCAACAATCCTAAAGGACTGATATTTAGAGTAATAATATAATGCCTGCTGTATTAAATTGAAATAAGTCTACAAAAGTAAATTAAGCTTTTTCTTGATCTTAGGCGACTAGAAACGGTATAAGAAAATATGCCTCCCCCCTCCCCGCCAACAGGGTGAATTGCACTCCGTGGATGTCATAAGAAGATACTGTGGGAAATGCCAAAAATAAAGGCAAAAGTTTATGAAACATTCAAAGGCAATAAAATTGTTTTAATTAAAACTTCAATATGTTATCAGAACAGACGGCAAGCTTTTAAGATGATCTTTTATCTCTGTCAATTTGTGACATTTCACTGCTGAACATGGTCCTCTCTATTGTGGTAAGGATTTGCCGTAATCAACACGTTTTTCTGGCGAATTGATAACCGCCGTACCAGACGTGTACCACCAGACTGTTCATATGCGAGATACGAGATTGTGTACTTGTTCGGTGCGGAATTCGAACCACAAAGTGTAGGTAATACATACAATTGTTCCGGGTCTGTCTGTTTGCTATGTAATGTCAGCGTAAGAATATACACTACCCTGTGTCTTCCTGTGGGAGTCGTAAGAGGCGACAGAGGAAAACAAACAGAAGATTTGCAGGCAGCTTGTTAATAACAACTAAAATTAAAGAAACTTTGGTTGCCAACCCGCTTGCCAAGGGTGGCAACTACGGAAAATATGAATCAATCTATGGGAGAGGCCTACTCAGCAGTGGCTACATTGATAAGCTGTGACGGTAACGGAAGCCACTGTTTATCCAAATGCTATTTATGTATGCAAACATTCATAACCTGAGAAAATACTGATAAGGACGTAACTACCTTTCTTTTTAAAAAAAAGTAATCCATAAGAGTCTCTGAGATCTCTCTGGCCTTTCTAATTTTTGCTCTTTTTAGAACACCTTTGGAACGAAATGGCACGATGGAGTATCCTTCGCTGCCACCTTTGATTATCAGGCAATCATTATAATACACGTAATACGCATCGTATGTATTACGTGCTTCTTTCGATTAGGTATAAATTTTAATAATATTTTTCAGATGCATTTGTAATAATATCTCGTAATAACAAGCCGATGGTTAAACACGATTCGATCACAAATGCGCGGAAAACTAATGCACGCGCGACGCACGACTGCAAATTGTATGGAAAATCCAAAAGTCATTTCTTAGTATGCAACGAAAATTTAATTATTCCATTGATCATAATATTTGTTATATAAATAAATAAAAAAACATTTTCTTTCGTGAATCTGCTACTTTAATATAATTGTCCTTCTAAGTGATAACATAAAAAGACAAAAAAAGAAAAAAGAACGTCTTGAAAGTAATAATATTATGTGGTGTAATATGGATTACATATGGATCTTGGAAGTCACTCTCCAACTAAAACTTTTTGTTCATTATGTTGTTAGCTCAGGGTCTTAACGCTGGCACCAACGAAATTGTTTATTTCATTATTAAGTGCTAATTTACCTTCTGTTAGGCGGTGAAGGAAAACCTGATAAAACTGAACCTGCTTGAATACAATATTACCAGGATAAGTAAAGCCAGCCAACAGGTACTGGAGTTATGCGGCGGACAAAAAACTCTAAAACCCTCTCGAAAATGAGAAGATTGAAAATGGGAAGATCGCCGTATTTATCAATACTTCCTATTGGTACACATACATAGATAGACATAGGCTGCAAATTTGTCTTTTTTAAAGCTCCTTTTCAAACTATTAAGATGACTTGGTTGAAACCCTTCTCTTACCTATTGGTTCGAACCTTGGACCTTATTATCAACAATCTCGATTACGACGACTAGACCAATGAGGCAGTCGAATCCTGGTTTAATGGGTAGGTTAGGTAGCCGGTATAATCACAGGCTGTGAAGACGGCTTTTCATATGGCACGATCCTCCCACACCTGTCTCGCTTTCGTCACTTTCATTTAAATACGAATACACACTCGTCGGTTAAAAGGACTCTTAATTTCGCTTTTTATCATTGTATCGCTAATTTGGTCGATAAACTTTTGGCTAGGTCGTCTCTTTCTGACTTTGCCACACACTGAAATAACTGGTTATAATTGACAGATATTTCAAATTTAAAGTTAACTAAAAATCTATTAAATAATACTAGTTTTTACGGATTTTATCGCGTATATTTAACTTATTAAATAAAAATATTGATTTAAAAATTCTGGGGCATACATACGAGTGAACTTAAATAAAAAAATACGTGTGGCACTCGGTGACTGCCGCGGTAAAGCTATTGCATATCATAGCATTTTTTATCAACTTATGCAATTATAATTATTTATTTATTTTATTTGTGCAGTTAATTCTTTGATATTAAATCTAGTTACAATTTTTGAGCGTGGTGACCGATAAGAAAACAATTTTTTTCTCTTATTGAATAAATGAGAAGTTAATATTGTTTAAAATATTTTTAATATATTACAATACATGTAGGTTATTCAGGAATTTTTATCATTGAGTTAGCAGCTAGTGTACACGCATACGTCTAGTCGCACGCACACAAACACCGTGCCGAAGTCTGCCGAACTGAAACGACGTTAGACGATGCACGGCTTTCAACGCCACACCTCCGTGCCCGTCGGAGTGGGGAGCGTGAGGTTTTTTCGTTACGGAATTTCTGGATTCGGTCCCCGCGCTCAAGGCCCGCGATAGAAGCTATGCAATAGCTTAAAATTATAAATAAAATTCGTAAAAACTAGTATTATATAAATGTGTAGTGTTACCGTAAATATAAGAAATCATTAACTAAAAATCTTACAATTGCAATGGCGAAAAGGTTTAGTATATTTTTGAATATCTTTGTGCTCAGTTGATCTTTTAAAGTTGTGAAAACGCAGGAGCACTAACTGTGCAAAATAAATGTTTTCGATGAAACAGGCTTATACAATAGATTCGAATTCGAATATACTGTATAAAAAAAATACATGTTTCTGACACTGATCACTTACAGCAGGGCTATCCGCTAACGTTGTTGACATCAAAATTACAGATACATTGCATGGTATGTTTAATGAGCCAAAGTAATAATGTCCTCCAGACCAAATTTCAGTGGGCGGCCGGTCTCAACGGAGCCTAGCTATCGGCGCAGGACAGGATTATAGTGCCCAAGTGTAGCAAGCACGGGCACTCTATTCCCTCACTCTCATAATCGAGCTGTACCAGCGCAGGCCCAACGGCTTTACGTGCTTTCCGCACAGGGATGAGACTCCGCCAAAGTAGCTCTTATAGAAAAAACCGGTATATATAGAATACATAATGAACTATAAATTTACTACAATTTTGATGTCAACGGAATTAGCGGATGTATATTTACAAAGATATATTTACGATTACAACGCAAACAGAATCTGCGGCATAGTGGTTAAGTCAAGAACAGAACACTGAGCTCTGAAAATGTAAACGGTTATTTATAGAACTTTAATTAGGTGCGTTCTTTGATGCGTATTTTTACAATTACGCAAAACTTACTTTATGATGAAATTCTTACGTACTACGGGTACTAACATGAAATTTGCACAATTATATATAAAATATTTTTGCAGTGATTAAATGAAATTAATTAGAGGAACTTTATCGAGTTGAAGTAAAAATTTTTGGTATTTTTTTTACGATAAGGGTGACAAACGAGCACACAGTTCACCTGATGGTAAGTGGTTGCTGTGGTCCATATCCATATCCTCGATTACGAATCAAAATGCAAATGCGTTGTCACCCGTGAGCACTAAGATGGAATGCCTCGTTTCTAATAAAATGTGTATCCAGTTCTCTAAACTCGTTATACGAAACACAGGAGCGTTGATCCGCTATGTTACGCTGGTATTCAGTGGGTTTAGTCTGGCAGAGCCACAATACAGCTTAATTGTGGTTACGACCGTGGGAAGGACTACGCTCCCACAAAATACCAGTAAAGGACCGGAGATCCTTTTTACTGTAATCGAGATATTCCATCTTAGTCCTTAGGGGTGACAACAATTCATTGCATGTATGCATTTTAATTAATCGAGGATAGGTGTAGTGTATATGGCCCACAGCATCCATCTTACCATCAGATGGACTATGTGCTCGAGGTAATAAATAATAATAATAAATAACGTTTATTTCTCACCACAAACAAAGTTACATTTAGAGTTATAAGTAGCATATAAGTAGTACAAAACAACTTTGCGTGGATCGCTGGTGCCTATCGTGGGTAAGATACCCGTATTACAGGTCACCAGGTCTCCACCTCTACGAGGAATGCTATTTATATCTAAAACATTAACACATAAAGTTTAACTCTATTTCCTTATTTGTCATACCTAATTGAAATAATTGTGAAATTGTGTAGGTCACACTATAATCTACTAAAATGTAACCTATGATATAATTTGTGCGTTTAACTGCTGGGCACGACTTGGAGCCAGACCACGAAATATTATATTTCATTGTCGATTAGAATTGAAAACTCGATTTGTTCGCATATTCAAAAATGTCACTTTTTGTTAATTCTACTTCATATATTAATACAAAAATGTTGTCCTATTTTGCAGCAAAAATATTTTCACCGTGCAAGAAGAGTTCACCCGATTTCGACCCATGCATAAAACGAGCTTTCAACAAGCTGAGGCCGTATTTCAAACGAGGTAAATATGTTATACAATATTGACAATAACAAATATAACTTATTTATTCTTAATCTATGATATTGCAATTCTTACTAAATATAACTTAGAACTAGTACAGTCACTCACTTATAATGCGCGTTGTCCAAATTCTTGAGCAAATTTATTGTAAAAATAAGTGGCCGGTCTCATGGTCACCTTAAAAATTTGAAATATTATGTTTTCGGGTTTAAGGTTTCAAAATTACAAATTACTATAGGTTCTTTAGGTCACGGGGGGGATCGAGGTGTTCGAATTCTCAGTGTCATAATTAACTACTTAATCCGCAAAGTATCCATTATGTTAAAGTTGGCAAGAATTACCTCGCACATATCCGCTCAATAAAATAACTTACCTACTTTGAAGAGCATCTCCCGTTCTCCTTAACATTTGAAAACTATTTAATAAAATTAGTAATTTCTATACAAAAATATACTTATTAAAACTTACACAAGAACAACGCGGATTTCAGGCATACCAGCGATGGGTGTGGCGCCATTCGATCCGCATTTTGCTAAAGAGGTGAAGCAAAAGCGTTCCATCGGCGGCCTTGGCTACACGCTCACGCTACGCAACGTCTTCGAGGGGGGGTGGACTCAGTCCACGGTCACGAAATATAAGTAAATACAACTTTAATACACGCAAGAAAAGAAAAATTAAACTTTTATAAAAGTTAAAATATAAACTTTTATAAAAATAAAAATGAATTTAACAAAATAACTTCTGAAGTTGGTGTTTAGTTAAAGTTACTAAGACGTAGAGTATTGAAGAATTTAAGACCCTTAAGAAGCTATTACATGAAAATTATATCTTCTTTTTTAGTTTTACGTGGTATAGCCACGCTGCTGCTATGTTATATTATATACATAACTGCAAAACGAATGGGTTAGCTCGACCGTGGTATGACCACAATTCACAGAATACCAACGTGACACAACAAAATTATGCTGTTGAGTTTGGTATGGTGAGTATAGAGAACCGGAAATCCTCTTTACTGGTAACGAAGCATTCCATTTTAGCCCTCAGGTGCATCTGTATTTTGATTCTTAATCGATGATAGATGTAATTGTCTACGGCACAGCATACACTTACTATAAAAATACAGTTCTTTGATGTCTTTTTTTATAGCATTGGGTGAAAAACGAGCACACTGTCCACCTGATAGTAAGTGGATGGTGTGGCCACATCCACATTTATCGTCAATTAAGAATCAAAATTGTTTGCAATTGATTGCAAATGTGTTGTCACCCCTGAGGACTAAGATGAAATGCCTCGATTCCAGTAAAAAGGGTCTCCGGTTCTCGACACGTACCATACGAAAGACAGCAGCAATACGCTGCTATTTTATGCTGGTATTCTGTGAGAGCGTGGTCCTGCCCGGTCGAGCCGACCCATTCGTGCTACAACTATAATATATGTAGCCGCAGCGTAACTACCACGTAATAAAAATTATTTTTTATTAAAAGATATCATTTTTATTAAAAGTGAAATATTTTTGAGCACTTTTGAGTGGATATATAATATCCTAAACACAAGGTATGACTATAACATCGTCTAAATATTTATAATAAAAACTTCGCCCTTTTTTCCACCCTTAGGTGTCGTTTCAAATTCAAATGGGACCACATTTGATATACAGCCTATTTCACAATAAAAATCATTTGTATCGGTACATATAAATTAACATAGAACTTAGTTAAAAATTAGTTAAAAAGTAGCTTATAGAGTTTTAAAATATGGAATGAGACATTTAAATAATAATAACAAAACATGAGAATAAAAATACAAATATATATTATATAATATAGATATTTATTTTTTAATCATTCGATGCTTAATCCGCCTTTATATAATCTTAGAGAGTCAAACGAGCAGTCCACCTGAAATTGAGTGACTATTACAGTCTATGATACCTGCAAATAATTTAAAGCAATTTCTTAGGATTAAGTTGAAATACATATCAGCCTATACTGACTGTCTTACCCTTCAAATCTTACCCTTAGAACATACACAGATTGCTACTTTATACATAATAAAAAACTAACATAGCAAGTGTATATAGCTCTATACTAAATATGCCGAACCCCAACCCCCCAATCTGTTAATGGCGAGCGGCATCACATTGTGAGTATCGGCACCGTTCTTACCAACGACGATGATGACGATAAAATATAATACTTTTTATGCTTGTATTTCAGAACCGACTGGGCTAACAAACGGATTATTTATTCGCAATATTTTCCAGAAAAGTGGTTGAAAGGAGAATATGAATTTAAGGTATGCAAGTATTAAAGTAAAGAAAATACAAAATATGTTAATCGTTGATGTAAGCTCGTACTTATCATGATAGTGGAAACATGAACTTGTTTTCGTTAAATTAGGTTATTTTAAATAAGAAGAAACATAGCATGTAGTAATATTCTCTATACATAAAAATCAATCTGTCCGTTAGTCTCACAAAACTCAAAAGTGGCTCTAACGATTATGATGAATTTTTTGTGCACATTTGAAACTCTGGGTGGTATAAAAACTCAGTTGGACCCGGGGGTGCCGGTGTTGTCGAGATCCAGAAACCACCCGTGCAAAGCCGGGACAGATCGCAATTATAATATAATACATAAAAAGAAGAAAACTTTTTTTAAATTTCTAGAGCGAATTGCGGCAGTAAAATCAGTAAAAATTGTTGTTATAATAATTATTTACTTACTTCGTAATTTCTTTACACTGATCTGTGATAAATTTATATTTTAAAAAATTACAGTACGCAAAAAAACCACAGTTCGAAACCCGGCCGCATATATAAAATTGTTAATTATGAGATAAAGATAAAGATATTTATTTTGTAAATTATGAGTAAAAAAATATAAAGGTGTTAAAACTTAAAACTGTATGGCGTACAAAAATTAAACTACATAATATATTAATTATTATACAAGATAAATTAACTAACCTTATAGACATAATTTTAGTTGTGCAACAATTTCAATGGCATCTCCTAAGATTGCGTTAGAGAAATGTCGCATTTAAATATTTAGCTTAAAAAGTCAATCATTTAAGAAATCAGGCAAGCTGTAATAACATATATTTTTAAGATGTAGCATAAAAAGGCAATTATTTGATGTGTTTTAGGATTTTATTATATACCAGCTTGCCAGGCAGACATTGTTCTGCCCTTTTCTACAACCTTTTGCCATGTCTTAAAAAATCCTTAAATTTGCAAAAAAATTGTGGGTCACTCAAGGGCAAAAAACTTTCCTATCTCTCAAGTTGGATCAAACTGCACACGGTGTGAAATTTGATTAAAATCGGTTAAGTAGTTTAAGAGTCCATCGCGGACAAACAACGCAACGTGACATGTAATTTATATACAATACTAGCTTGCCAGGCAGACGTTATTCTGCCCTTTTCGGCGACCCTATGTCATGTCCTATTAAAAATCCTTAAATTCGCAAAAAAATTGTCACTCATGGGCAAAAAAAACTGTCCTATCTCTCAAGTTGGACCAAACTGCACACGGTGTGCAAATTTGATTAAAATCGGTTAAGTAGTTTAGGAGTCAATCGCGGACAAACAACGTGACACGTAATTTATATATATTAAGATGTAACAAAAACCCTGTGCTTTCCGTTAATTGTGTTATCAGAATCAGTATCCAAGCGTAAAGAATTTTTTTTTTCAAAAAAACACATTTAAATAACATAATATTAATGAAAAAAAAATATTTGCAAATTGTATGTGGTTTTATTCCTCTAACTCACACGAGTATCGGTAAAGCGGGGTCTTTGACTATCCTCTTACTCCTCGGCCAATGCAGAGATAATAAAACCACAAACAATTTGCAAATTAATTTTTTTCAATAAATTTTTTTTTTTAAAAACACATTATTTCTATATGCTTGGATACCGATTCTGATAATGCAGTTAACGGGTACCACAGGGTTTTTGTTACATGTTGTATAATAAGATTATTGGCGCCAAACAGAAAATACTTTTATGCAAATACAAATATTGTACTTCTCAGACATACAGGAGGAAACCTGTATGTCTGAGAAATACTATAATATTTTGAGGACGCGGAATGGATCAGCACGGCTGTGTTTACTCCATAACCCTCTCAAAAATGAGAAGAGGCCTGTGTTCAGCAGTGAAAGGCTGTAATTATACAATACTTTACATATTTTGAAATTGATTTGTTATGTTTCCACATTTTTCATAAATATACAGAGAGAGAATTAATGTATGTGATGAAACAGCTGATATTTGAAAGTCGATGCCATGCACTCACTTTTATGATTACCAAAAACAGTGTCAAGGTGAACGTCTACGTACATTGTAAAGGTTACACAGATTTCTCAGTTTTATTTTCTAACTTCTTATCAATTTGCTCTCTAATTATAAAATTATTATAATGAACTCCAGGCATTAATCAGAAGCCTGAGCTGTGTCACTTACGATCAGAATACACATTACGCAATAGGACGACGACGTAAAATTGAAATGGGAAATAACCGTAATAAAAATAAGAAGCGACTGGGTTGGCGTAAAGAAACAGGCATAATATATAAACCTAATGAAATAAGTATCTAATGACCTATCTACTTACAGTATTAGTGATTACAAACATGAAGGTACAAAGCATACGACGCGCAGGGAAGTGGAGGCGAAATTAGAATTTGAACCGAGGTTCTAATGCTCCTTAGAAGTAGCGTCTCACGTTCATCGTGAGCCATTCCATTCGAATTACCATTAAAACCAAAAAGCAATCTACAACTGAACATAGGGCCTACCCTGTAAATTACCTCATAGAGGATTTTGCCATAGGTGCCACGCTCAGAAGACCAATGGGTAGACGCAGTTTTTTATATATTATAGTATGTGAGGATAATATGGTCATCCGGTTAATATGGTCACTTTCTTATAACTCAAAAACTACAGCCTTGTTTGCATAAATGGATCTGTGATACGATAGTTCTTTATCAGTCAATCAAATAATAAAGGACCCGCAAAACGTCGCTGCTTTATCGACGCCATTTTAACAGTTCGTCGCTCACGTTACATACAGGCGTATCTCTTTTTTTTCAGCTTTACAGGAGAGCAAAAAAACGTTTTTATTTGACCAATTGGTGAACATTTTCTGTTTTTCTTTGTTTATAAAGACACCGAGGCAAATCAAACTGTGTGGTTATTATGTCGTATAGTTGGGGTGTTAGTATAATATCAGATTAGTTAAATAACACAAGTATATATGTATATAAAAATGCGTTTAATTCATATGCGCCTATTTGTGAAGCCCAAATTATTTTATATGAAAAATAAAATTATAACTAAATAGGAGTAATAAAATAAATTAATAAAATAAAAACATTGTCAGAAATAAGTTTTTTATTATTACGTTTATGAATTAAGAATATAAAACAACAAAAATATTAATAGAGATAGGCTTTTTCAATCACCAAGACAAATAATAATAGGTACAGGAACATCTTAAATGCTGCATATTGAAGATAGTTCTGATAAGCTCACACAATTTTCGGTACCATCATCCTAAGTTACAATAACGTCCACCATTCTGAAATGAAACATTAAACACATAAGTGTCTAATAAATTTAAGGGTACTTATTCCCCGTTCAGCGATTGTATTTACTGTGCCTAATTTGTTTGGGGTATTTAGTTTTAAATAATAAGATCATAATAATAATCGTATATAAAAATAACATGACTGTAAGGTATAATTATACTTTGCTTAAAGAAGAATGAATGATTTTCACTTAGAAAAATATCATGGGTTTGTGGTTAGTTTAGAAAAAACTAATTACTAATAACTAATTAATTTTAATACCCGACGTTTCGGGTGCTTTCCAGAACCCATGGTCACGGGGGACTGAGGTGACTGACGTCCCGATATCAAAGTTAACCCGGAGTACCTTCAGCTTTTTAATTATTGTTTTTGGTCCGATCTACGCAGAATGAACTAACTGTATTTTGAAGTCTTGCAGTGGTATGCTTGGGTTTAGTTTTAATTTTATTAATTATAGGATCCCAAGCAGGTGGTAGTACCCAGCCTCCTTCTCTATTGAAATTAGGATGTTTTTTAAATTCAATAGCCTCACATGTCATCCTTGGTAGGAATCGATGTTCTTTCGCGAGGATTTGTGGTCTATCAAATCTGATGTAATGGTTGGGGCCATCTAGAATATGATCGCAAACTGCAGACTTCCCGGAACGTTGATGCTTCACGTCAGCTATGTGTTCTTTTACGCGGGTTCTAATTGATCTCTTTGTTTGCCCTATATATGAGAGACCACAATCACAATCAAGCTTGTACACTCCTGCATCTTGTAGAGGAATATGACACTTGACGAATGGTAAGAACTGACTAATCTTCTTCGGCAGCTTGTAGAATGTTCTAATAGAATCTCGCTTCAAAATGTAGCCAATCTTGTCTGTGACACCTCTTACATATGGTAGTACAGCAGGCACACGCTCGACTGTGGCCGGCTTCACTCGGTCACTGTAACGGAGGCGCTGGACCCGAAGCTTGTTGTCGTGCAGAACCTGCTTGACGTGCTGAAGCTCGGCGGCCAGGTGTTTGCTGTCACAAATCCCTCGTGTTCTCTGAAACAAAGATTTGCCCACGGTAGCTAGATTTTAGTCAGCGAGGTTGACAAGATTCCTTCCAGGTGTACTAACACTCGTATCATGTGGTGGCGACGGAAGAGAATCCATCACTTATTTTCGCCCCATACATGTAAGTGGGAGGAGACTTTGGTGGCAAGGTCTATTATCATCCTAAACCCACTTCACCAATGCTCAGTAATTTTCATCATACATATATAACAATAGGTACAATAGTTAACTTATTTAATTATACAATTACCTTAATTATAAAAGGGTTTATAGAGGACTTCAACTACGCACTGAAATTACATGTGTTTGCCGCCGGAGTTTTGAAGCAAAAGGGTTAGAGTTGGTCTCGGATGCGGAAGCGTTAGCTTTGGGATTACCAGTTATTCTCGATGTGCATATACTAAAACGCCACACGACTGTAGGAATTCCCAGAAAGATCTCTGTGAATGCTTTCGATAAATGGCGATATAACCATTGCATTTACACCAGGACTTCAAACTGACGACAGAAAGTAACATCCTACGAGCACTTAACCCTATAGAGACGTAATACAAGGCGACCCGAACCTGTCAACTCGTCAGTGACTAGTCACTGATATATTTCGGAACACTTTTGCTTCCCGCCAGTTGTGACCAAAAACTAGAACCGTAGAGACTGATTACATTTAAAACATAAATTAAAATCTATTTACGGCATCATGTCTTGTTGTGCCGTTAAATGGTGCGGAAACAACAGTAAAACATGTAGTGTAACAACAAACAATATTACTTTTCATCGGTAAGTACATTTCTTTATTTTACCAAAATATTTTCGACATTTTTATTACGCAACGAGGGTCAAGTTAAACTGGACAGTTCCGTCACTCGTCACTCCCCGTCCTTTTTGCATTTACTGCAAACACGTATGTCTGTCTCTCCTTATCATAATTAGCCTCGAGACGCTAATGACTAGTGCGGGGCGGTATATTTATTTTATATTGTCGATAATTATCCACAAAATGATTATTGTATTTAGATATCGTTTTTTTTTATTTATTAGATATAGACAGATACATAATTCATTAATATTATGGATATATATATATATATATATATATATATATGTATATATATATATATATATATATATATATAATTTAATATTAAAGTATTACTAAGATTAGTAGATTATTATTTACTACTTTTAGTAATACTTTATAATATTAATTATAGTTATTCTTTTCGTGTATGAGCTTTGGATAAGTACGATAACAATGTTATTTTATTTAAACTGTATGATTTTTTTCCTATAGGTTTCCAAAAGATGGTAATATGAAAAACAAATTGATAAACGTTACAATAAAGAGAAAATCGGTTTCCATCAAAATATAGCGTCATGTGCTCAAAACATTTTACTGAGGATTGTTTTTTGATGACAAAAAATAAGCGGCGACTAATGAGAAGTGCAGAAGAAGTTTCAAAATCAATAATAGCACTTAATAAAATAAATATAATAAATAAATGTGAAAATCTTTTTTTATTATCTTTTCAATCTCTCCGTACTACCTCGTAGTGCCTCGACCTTAAGCCGAACTATCTTGCGTACCTCATACGGGGCCTTTTTTATAGGATAGGGTGACAAACGAGCACACAGTACACCTGGTAAGTGGTTGCTGCGGCCCATAGACATCTACATCTATCCTCGATTACGAATCTAAATGCAGATGCGTTGTCACCCGTGGGGAATGAAATGCCTCGTTTTCAGTAAAAAGGGTCGCCGGTTATCTACACTCACCATACGAAACAGCATAAAGCTACTATTTTACGCTGGTATTCTGTGAGAGCGTGCGTCGAGCGTCCTTCCCCGGTCGAGCCGACCAATTCATGGTACAACTATACTACTAATATAACTGCAGCATGGCTCTACCACGTATTAAATATTTTAATTTTTTATGTTAAAGTAATTTTATGTTAAAGTTCAACAAATCACTAAAAGTTTTTAAACTCCTTTTAAACTCCAACTTCGAAAAAAATTCAAGATTTAAATTAAATCTTGAAATTTTTTCGAAGTTGGCATTTATATTTTACCTGAGTATACTGCTGTAAAATATAATGTTGTAAAATTGTAATGTTGAAAATGTTAGTACATTTAAAATTGCATTTCTTAGTTGCATAGAAAATTGAAGTCACAGTCAAAGCTAGTTACTGATACCGAAAGCATGTATTAAAAAAGCGAAAAAAATTATCATTATCGATAGAAAGCATCAAGTCATTACAATGCACGCCCTAGCGATCGTGTCCGGAATCTCTTCGGAATAGTTCGGAGTACTTCGCAGCGATCATAAATCCCCCCGCACCGCAACTAGTTGACAAAATTGTTTTCTTTTAAATTTGCATGTAATACTTCTTTATAGGGTTAAGTGCTCGTAGGTAACATCAAACGCTTTTTACTGGAAAAGGGGCAATCTACCTTAGTTCTCACGGGTGACAACGCATCTGCATTTTGATTCGTGATCGAGTGTTGTAGTAGATGTCTATGGACCGCAGCAACCACTTACCATCAGGTGGACTGTGTGCTCGTTTGTCACCTTTATCCTATAAAAATACAATGAGATTGACACCAAAAAGAAAAAGAAATTGCATTATTATTATTTTTATTTTTATAAAAACGGTACCTCCACACTAGGACCATATACGAGTAAAGTTGCTAAATCCCAATATTTTTTAGGTAGACGGATTCGGTTTAGAGATGATGCGAACTGGTCAGTGGAACCTGACATTGCGCGATTACTCGCAGACCACGCGCATCAAACGAAACGGCAGTGGCCTCGACGTCCACGTTGAAATTGATCACATCGGCGACATGGATATCCACGTGGGAAACCTGCTCCTTGGCAGACGTATTCTAGGTATGCCAGAGATCTAAATTCTAAATTTGTTATACATTCTAACATTTGCAAATTATTTTAAAATAAAAACGACAATTCAGGAGTCATTATGATTCACATGTAAGAGTATAACTGGTGCTAGACTCCTTAAGTCTGGATAGATACTACCATCATACCAATTCATATTTCGGCAATAAGGTGTTGTTTGTAAAAAGAAGAGGTGATAAGGCATCTGTCGCATTCTTTGTGTAAAGTTGTTTTTTTTTATAAACAGGAAGTTTAGTTGAGATGTTTATTGACTAGTCCTTCAGTCAGTCCATCCCTTTGGCAGACTTTTAACTGGTTCGTTATTAATATTTTCAGTGAAATAAATATCCAACTTGCTAATATTTTTCTACTTACTATCAGATGGCTTGTCTACAGGGTCCTACTATAAATAGAAAAATTATTATGGAAATGTATGTACTATCTTCATAATTTATTTCAGAACAAATGCTCGATCGCGTCATAAACTTAACATGGAAGCCAGGATTCGCAGTAATTCGACCGTTGATCAACGACCTCGTCAGCACTGCCTTCACGGACATTTGGAGCAATTCCTTCAGAAATTTTCCCCTTGATGTCTTTATAAAAAATTGAGGTTCTGTTGGTAGTTGAATTTGTGTTTGTTTATATCTTATTTATAAGGTTGTTATAAGTTTAACTTGTTAGTTTTGTACATAGATGATTAAAATAGGGAGTATTGTTAAACACAGAAATCGTATTACGATTTCTGTGATTGTTAACCAATTTATGAAAGTATCCTGGCGGCGTTTAGTTAATACAAATCTATCCCTCGGTTTTCTCCCTGGATAATAATACTAGAGTATTTTTTTGTTTATGCGCCTTGGTTCTTTTCTTAAATTATGTTTAAAACTAGGAACCTTCCAAAATTAGTAAAACTGCCCACGTATATCGCAGATACTAAACATACTAGCGATAGTAGGATATCTAGTACCGTACCACGTAGGTGGTAGGACATCTTTCATTCTTAAATTTCTGTTCCTGCCGTCATATATCAGTTCTTGCACTGCTATGTTCTAGTCTAAGGGTACAGACGGCCAGTGTATTTACAGATTATAGTTGTAGCACAATTGAGTCGGCTCGATCAGGACTGGACCACGCTCTCATAGAATACCAACGTAATGTTGCTGTATTTCGTATGGTTAGCGTAGAGAACCGATGACCCTTTTTACTGGAATTAAGGCATCTTAGTCCTCAGGGGTGACAACGCATTTGCATATTGATCCTTAGTTGAAGATAAATGTGAATGTCTATGTGCTACAGCATACACTTACCGTCAGGTAGACTGTGTCGTTTGTCACCAAATGCTATAAAAAAATTCTTTATTTGAAGTTATCTGCTGGTGTCCACAGGCACTGCACAAGCCACTTACTATCATATAGACTGTAAGATCGTTTGTCATTCCAGTTTTAAAAGAAAACCAGCAAACTTAAGCGAACATAAAAATAAGTAAAAGAAAAACACACAGGCAAGAACAATCCTGTGGTAATAGTTTTTGAAAAAAATACCGGCCCACTTTTGATGGAGGAAACTGGGGTGTAAGGGTGACGATTTAACCAATTTTACAAAGGTATAATCTGTCAAAAATTCATTTGTCTAGCTCGGTCGTTAGACCACAGCGCGACACAGCAATAGATCGTAATAGCAAATTCTTCAAATTTTCTGCAACCCGGATGTCCTTATAAGGATCTGCTAAATGTCTTGGAAGACTTGTCTATCAAATTTCGCAAAGCATCAGTAGTTATGGCTACTAGAACTTCAGTCGCATGCAAAGTGTAGTAGTTTTAATATTGTTACGAGCTTGAGGTTCGTGACAATAAAAACTGCCGATTGAATTACCAAAATTTACACATTTATTACCGAAAACCAATTAAAACTAAAAAACACTAATAATTAATCACACTGATTCACTTTATTTCGCTTCGAAGCTTCGCTTGTCTCGCCAAAATTCAATACTTCCTCGATCGCATCTTGCAGCGCCTTTAAATACACATTACACCGAAACATCCAGAATATTCAAGTAAATACGCGCGCCAATCGACTAGGCGCCGAAAGTTCGAGTGTCGGGCTTCTAGAAAGCTTAGTTTTTCATTTCGATACTAGATGGCGCTGTCGGTTGAAAGATTAGTGATGTCATTTTCTGGAAAGCTCTCTGTTACCCGACACAGATGGCGCTAGTGCCAGACGTCAACTTAGGCGCACAACACTGCCCCCTCCTAAGACATGCTCGTCTCGAGCATTATCGTCCCCATAATAACGCGCCAGGCGATCCACATGGACGATCTTAGGAGTCTCTCTTGCGCTCTTGCGAGTCATCGTTGATCCTGGTTACAGTCCGGTACGGGCCGTCCCATTTAGCTTGAAGCTTAGGAGATTTCCCTGTGCTGCGGACTGGATTGCGCAACCACACTAGTGAACCTTCGTCGAACCCTATGTTGTTCATTTTGCGGTCTTACCGGGTTTTCATCTTTTCAGACATTTGCTGGCCCGATTGTCTGACGTGCTCATAAATGTCTTTTCATTTTTTTCATTCATTGTTCCGCAAGCCATTTGCATAATCGGTTATACTGCGTGGGGCATCAGGTGGTATCCCGGTGATCAGTTCTGCAGGCAGCCGTAATTCTCTTCCAAAGTTTGCGAAAGCTGGTGTCACTGCTGTACTTTCGTGAACAGCGCTTCGATATGACAACAAAAACGGTTGTATGTGCTTGTCCCAATCTCGTTGCCGATTGTCTACAACTTTTGCTAGGTACCTCTCCAATGTCTGATTAAATCGTTCTACCATTCCATCAGATTACGGGTGATAAGAAGTCGTTCTTGTTTTATGAGTACCCATAACTCGGCAAGTTTCCTGGAATATTTGAGACTCAAAATTCCTTCCTTGATCGCTGTGAATCTCTAAAGGTACTCCAAAACGACAGAAGACTTCATGAACTAGTTTATCCGCAACTGTTGAAGCTTCTTGATTTGGAATGGCGAAGACTTCTGGCCACTTAGTGAAGTAATCCATCACAACCATGAAATACTTGTTACCGCTTTCACTCTCCGGAAACGGCCCCGCCACGTCAATGGCTATTCTCTCCCATGGTGCACCAACATTGTACAACTTCAACGCACCTCTACTACGAGTCTGAGGTCCCTTTACGGCCGCACAACTTGTACATTTGCGACACCAGTCCTCGACGTCGTTTCGACATTGGACCCAGTATAACCGTTCTCGGGTCTTCAGTAGAGTTTATTTAACTCCCAGATGACCTCCTGAACAATCATTATGGTACAGCTGTAGAACATCCGGTACTTTAGCTTCAGGGACAACCATTTGCAAATGACAGCTGTCTCTCCGAACATTTTCCCATTTACGGCACAGAACTCCATCCTGAAGCAGCAAGCTGTCCCACTGGGCCCAATAGCTTTTAGTGGTCGAACTCATCGCTGAGACGTCGCTCCACTTGGGCTTGGGAGCACTGGCCTTCGTGCATTGCAGAATCGGCTTGATGTCCGTATCTTCCTGCTGTGCACGTTGTAAGCTGTCCTTCCACTCGTTGCTGAGGTGGTCTGTCCTGAGCACCCTCACGGATACCACTTCCTTACTCTCTTGCCTAGTACAATGTTTGCAATCTTCAGGACAAGGTCTTCTTGACAATGTATCTGCGTTGCCATGAGATTTCCCGCTACGAAGTCTGATAGTAAAGTCGTATTCCTGCTGCTGTTGGGCGTTGATGTTAGCCGCACTTCCCTTCTGAGATCGTTCACCTTCCCTTTCTAGGGTTCGCTTAGGGCAGCTAGATCGAAGATGGCCCCGTTCCCCACAGCCATATCACCTAGGGCTGTATCCTTTATTGTGTTGTATCCTCCCTAGCATGAGGGGAACGATGATCCTGCCGCACAGCTTCCACCTCCAGTGCATGGGTCAAGGCGTCCTTACGCGTCTCGTAGTGTCCGAGCCTCACAGCAGCTCTGACTTTCAGGTCGCGGATGCCGTCGATGAATGTCTGCACCAGGTTCCCTTCAATGAGCGCAGGTACAGACCGGTATGCTTTTCGCACCACCTTCTCCACCTCTAAAGCCCACTGCTGCAGGTTTTCGTTGATGCGCTGCACGCGATCTTTAACCTGCGCACGAAAGACGTGCTCCAGGTGAGCATCGCCTCCAATGCCTAAAGGAGCTGCTCATAAGTCACTTCCTCACGAGATCTTCCAGAACTGTTAAGGCCTGGTCGCGCAGGCCTAGTGTGAGAGCAGTCATGGCCTGACTTTTAGTCAGGCCATGACTGCTCTCCTCGGAATAAAATTCCAGCCATTCGCCTTCATAACAGCCTCGAACTGGATTTTGTAGGCTGACCAGGAAGAAGTCCGGTCGAACGGTGGCACCTTGAACCCACGTAGTGAAGGTGTTGTAGCTACTACGGGAGCTGTAATTCCGTCCCCCAGTTTGAGGTCGTCCAGCGTTTTCTTCACGTCAGCCATCACGTTGTCAACCCGATTGTTCACTTGGTCGATTCGGGTTTCAGATTTCTCATTTCGGGTTTCAGCTTCTGTCCGCCCCGCAGCTGCTCTTCTAACCGACGGATCTGTTCCTTCTGCTGCTCTTTTAACTGACGGACCTGTTCCTCCTGTCGGTGAGCCTGTTCCTCCTGTCGGCGAGCCTTTTCCTCTGCTGTTCTTTTAACCAACGGGCCTGCTCCTCCTGTCGGCGAGCCTGCTCCTGCAGCATCACCATCAGAGCACCTAAGTCAGGTGCTGCAGATGTAGAAGCTACTGACGGGCCTGCAGCCGGCCCTCCGACGTCTGCGGCGTTGCACCACCAAATCTTCTTTGGTCCGTCTCCTGCTGGCGTTAACTTCGGGTACGGACACCCTCCGTTTCCTCCTTAGGTAAAATCGGCATGATTTTATCCCACTTCTGACACCAAGTCGCTTGAGGTTCGTGACAATAAAAACTGCCGACTGAACCCTCGCTCTGTTACCCGACACAGATGGCGCTAGTGCCAGACGTCAACTTAGGCGCACAACAATATACAAGGAAGATACATAGCCACGGTTTATCACGACATAAGATTATTAAACGATGATGCATAAACATCAACAAAGTCCAAACAAATGCGATATGCTCATAGCTTAAGCTCGGCAGCGAGGGATGTTATTTACTTAGTAATAAGTTTGGAGTAAATCAGCGCTAAAATTTGAATTTTTAAGTGATTACGAGTGACAGAGATCGGAGCCAGGCGAACTAAGAAACATAACAATGGTCTCAGGATATGAAAAACAATACACAAGCCATAATTAGTTATAAGTATAGTTAGTAGAGTATTAGTCAAAAAACAAAATACAACATAATATTATGTAAGTTGAGTTGGTATATTTATAAGTGATGTAATAAACTAGTCCTATGGTTGTAAAACTGTTTTATTTGCCGTAATATAAAAAGACCTAGACGACGCGTGTACCATACATTTTGAAAGGCTTCCACTCACGAAAAGTTACATATGCAAATCTGCCAGTTACGCGGTGTTCACTCAGTTCTTGCATTTGGATGCCACAGTTGCATTACGGCGGCGTGGTACTGCACCGCAATAAT